TTCCCTTGCTAAAGAACTAGTAGATGTTGGTATTATGATAAATGAAAAAATGATTGAAACAGGGGTTTGGAATGGCACTGTTGATACATGCCGAATATTTAATTGTGATGAAACACCCCAGTTTATTAATTATGGAATTGATGGTACCACTTCTGGATTATTTTATGCTGGCAAAGGAGATGCATGTCAAAGAATGTATAGAGAAAACAGAGAATGTGTCACAATTCAACCATTTGTTTCATTTTCAGGTATGCTATAATATGTTATGGTTCAAGAAAAAATTGAATATAAATAAATACAAGCATTAAAAAACTTTTTTATTTTTTATTTTTAGGCGACATATGTATGTGTCAGGTAATATTTAAATGTACTGGTATTACTAGTTCTATGGTTCCAACAGAAGCAGTAAATAAAATTCCCCATTTGTTGGTCACAACTACAGATAATGGAGTATCAACCCATGAATCTTTCTTGGCAGCATTGAAAGAGTTTGATGTCTACTTAAATGAAAAAAATGTTAAGCGACCCATCGTCTTATTATCAGATGGACATAGCTCTAGACTAGACTTTGATGTATTATCTTTTTTGGAGTCCAAAAGAATTCATCTTTTTCTTACTCCACCAGACACAACAGGAGTTACTCAACTTCTTGACCAAGTAAACAAGAACATTCATAGTGAGTATCGTAAGCAAAAAGACTCTATGTTTTCTAATATCTGTTCCTTAAACAAAGAAGCTTTTATGTTAGTTTTAGCTAATATATGGGACAAGTGGACAACCAAAGAAACGCTTGTAAAATCTGCTAAAAGGGTTGGTGTTGCCGAAAATGCATTGAGTGTTGATTTTATGCAAAAAGACAAATTCGAACGAGCAGAAAACCTAATTGAACCAGAAAAACAGACTTCTCCACTAATTTCTTCGCCGGATAAAAGACGTGGTTCAGCAAATTATTGGAAATCAAAATTTGAACAAGCGATGGAGTTGATTGATGAACTTCATGAAAAGAGCATTCAGCTGGAAGAAATACCTGGTTTTATGACAACCAAAAAGATAAAGCCAAAATTTACAAAAGATGCAACACGTGTTACCCAAGTACATGGATCAATGACTGCAAGCGATGTAATAACTCTAGTTGAAAGCATAAAAAGAAAAAAAGAAAAAGAAAAGGAAAAAAAAGAAAATGCTGCAAAAAAGAAAGAGGAAGTTACAAGACTCTTTATAACATGTAAGCTTCAATGCTATTGCGAGGAGATAAAATGTAAAGCTTTTGGCTTAAAGCAGTGTCCAACCTGCCTCAATATAATGCGGTCCATTTGCAGCAAAGCAAAATGCAAAGTAAATGGAAAAAACCCAGAAATGATTTTATCTGCAGCTGCTAGAAAGAAATAACTGTGATATTCAAAATCTTTTTTATTGAATGAACTATTTGTTTTAAATTTGTTGTAAAGACTTGTTCTGGATAAACTTTTTTTTTTTAACTTTTTCTTAGCGCACCCCAAAAACCACATGTTAAAATGTAATTTTTAAACTTTTTTTTACAAGTTTCCCTTCTACTTATAATAAAAATGGTTTGATTTATGTAAATAGCATATAAAAGATAAGCAAACTAGATGGGATTTGCAAACTTAGTCTAAAAAACCAATATTTTATAGCAATATTACTTAAAACTCAATTATTTTTCTCAGCACTTTTTAAGTTTAAAACGGTTGTAAAAAAAACTCCTTTATTGTTAATATTGATTTCTTTTGTTTTAATTGTTGCTGAAACATTCCTTTATGAGAAAAAATTTCTCATATGATTTTAAAATGCATATTTAAATTTTTAGAGCCTTTTAACTGACCGCGTTGTTTTAACTGACCGCGTTGTTATCTACCTGTAGTCAAATTTGTTATTTATTCAAGTGTTGCAACTAAGTAACACTGGATAAACTTGTTAAAAAAAATCTTAGATTAGATATTTTTAATAGACTTTATATGTCTATCTTTGTTGTCAATTTTTTATGGAGTAAGACCTAATTTTTGAAGAGCGGCCTTAGATACAATAGTTTGTGATTTTAGGTAAGATTAAAAAAATTTATTGTACCTAAACCTACAAATTTTTAGACGCTATGACGGAGTTCTATAATTTAATATTATATAACTATTTTAATACAAATTATCTAATATAGAAATGTGATCATATCAGTTTCACTATTTTTAAACAAGCCTTGAATTTTGACATTGAATAAATCCGTTTAAAAGTCCTTGTGCAAAGTTTTTAAAACCTTGTCCAAATTTAAAAAAATAGATTAAGGTTTATGTAGACTTTTTTTTATGGATTGCTTACTTAATTTGATAAAAGTTCATAAATGGCTTCATTGTTATGACTTGTTCTGTCAAAGAGCATTATCAAAAAAACTGTACAAACTAAATTAGGCAAACTTTAATTTGTCTTTAAAAATAAAGCAGATCTCTACCAAAACAAGTAATAACAGGCGCTCTAACTACTGAGCTTATACGGA